GTGGCTCATGTGGATATATCAACTGAAGTAAATACTTGAGTGTACAAGGTTAAGCAGTTAAAATCAGGAGAGTCATCTGAATTAGGTCAGTAGAGGAAATTACCTTGGATTTATCATGAGCCTTGTAAACATGGAACTGCATTGCAGAAGACCAGCATATGCTTTCGCTGTAGTTTGCAGAAGGTTCTGAGCAGCAGAACCAAGGTCGACGCTGCGATCTTTACACAGTCCCAAATGGCAGGGACATTCTCCTGAAGGCAAATCGTTGGTTTTAGATTTTATTAGACCCTTACTTTAATTACCATCTCATTACTTGCTCTGCCTCCACAAAAAGTATTCCATACTGCCATTTTCCCTAAGTAACTGGAAATGTGATTGAAAGGGATGTTTAAAGTGAGACTAATTCAAGATTAAATAGTCACAAATTATATTATTGCTACATGTAAACAAATTACTTGCATATCTGATTTTATTCAGATTACTTTTCAAGTGGTAAATAATGCTTTATCACTTATATAGTGCTCTTACATCTTTAGAGTGCTTTTCTCACATTAATTAATCATCATTAAACACTCTGAGGTGGGTAGGTTAATACTATTATCCCCATTTTGCAGATGAAGAAATGTAGACTGAGAGGTTGTGATTTGCTCCAGGCCATATAGAAGAAATCAGAGCTGGGATTAGATCTATTTCCCTAGCTTCTAATTTCCAAAGACCAACCAGATTGAGAACCACAGCTTTGAAGTAAAACACATACAAGTATGCAAATGGAAACAGCACGTTTGGCCTTTTAGATGCCTAACTCACTGTTAAAGTAGAAACTTTGTGTTGTGTGTATTTCGAGATTCGGGCCCAAAGTGTGGAGGTAACTTGTTTGTTTCGGAATTATTCCTAACCTGATGAGGAATTTTTGTTTTCATCTTCCATTGAAATTAGCTTTCATCCTGGAAATAACAGTCTAGTTCTTGGGACTTGGATGTAAGTGTGAGTTGGGTACAGCACTTTTCACAAGCTGAGACATAAATGAAATAAAACCATGGCAGCTTGCCTTAGTGCTGTTCACAATAGAAGAGAGAGAGGTAAGAATTGCCCTCAGTGTGTTAAACCCACCACCTTTGTAGGCAGTGCCTTGCGGCTTAGTTCAGAGAGACATTTGGGTTCATGCACTCCACTTTAGGGAGCTAGCTGAATAAAATAAAATAGGTCTGCTCTGCTCTGCTCCAAAACTTTCTGTGCACTGCCTGGGTAAGCAGAAGCACCACAGAGAATTGTGTTAGTTACAGGAGCACATGCAGAAGCAACAGGTAAGAAAAAAAATGAGGTAAAAAGAAGGTACCCTTTTACATGAGGGTGTGGGCCTGCTGAGGAGAAGCAGCAAATATGCATACAGTAATGGGGAATAAAGCAGAGACCCGTGGACACATACAGGTGAGAATCAGCTTCATGCTACAGCATCCGTCCTATGCATCTTCCTTCCCAGCGTGGCAGTGCCAGTGGCTGCAGTGCCTGGCTGCTGAGTCAGGGGCTCTGGCATCTGGTTCCAGCTCTGCTTCTGGGCAGCCTTCCTGGTGAAGTCACTCAGCCTGCAAAGTCAGAGCAGCACTTTCCTGAGTGCTGTACACCTTAATTCATGGAAAAGGTTTTGAGCTCTTCATATGGAAGATCCTGGAGAAAGTGGAATATAAAGAGACCGGAAGGAAAGTGCACTGGAGAAAAGGGATTTTCTTCCCTCAGGCAGCCTGACAGTGTCTGTGGCTGTATGGTATGCGTTGTTTGGGGTGGTTTTGACTCATTAGCCGACCAGCTGCCCAGTGGGAATGGGGCTACCTGGGAGCTGATGTGCAGCTCTAAAGCTGCTTCTCCCGCCCTGCTCTGACAGCACATGTAAGACCCAGATGCAAGCTTCCCTAAAAGCAGTGATGTACACCTCCCTCTCAGTAACCCCATGTGTAGCAGCAAGGAGAGCAGAGCCAACACATCATGCGCTTTACCATCGGATTTGCACCTGAAGGCATTATGCCATGGGCACCAGGCATGCAGAGCTGCCCTTGCAGCTGTGGTGCTCTCTGAGCAGGAGCTTGGGAAGTGCTGGATTGTAACAAACTGCTGGTGGGGGAAAGGAAGGAAACCAGATACCTGCTTATTTGTTTTCTTGTGAAGTTGTGGAATGTGTTTTCCAACAGTGGGCCCTGTTTTAATAACCAGACACGTGATTACCTCATGTTAGATTTGCTGCAAGAGTAGTTCAATAAATATTATAGCATGCAGATAAGCCACCGATAACGCTGCGTGTTCACACATTCATATATTGCTGTGACTAAAAGGTAAGAATTCAGATTTTATTGATACCACTTCCACTCTAGTGTCGTAGAAGCAGTGCAGAGTTGGTGGCACTGGTGCCCAGACAAATTGAACCTAAATGAACAAACGAAAAGGTGATTTATTTTATTTACCCTGGGAGAAGTTTTCATTCTTTAATTGTAATTCCAAATATAAATTATGTGGGGAAGATAGACTAATGATTTTCCTGTGTTTGATTAAAGGCAAAGAATCAAAGATTTGTTTATACATTTATCTATTTGTTTCTTTGCTATAATAAGACCAGTTGTTATCCAAACAGTGCGACTGACCTAATAAGGGACATATGCATAATTGAGCTCCTTCTGTTTTTCAATATATATATATTTTTAAATAGAATTCATTATCAGAAGTTAAGTCTAAAACATTTTCAAGGCCGTATATTTTAGCGCTTCTATAAAAGGTCTCATTTTATTCTGGCCGCTGAAATGAAAAGGTTTGTTGTTGGTTCCACCCTTTAGTATCCCTTCAAGAGAGATTATATCAAAGAAGAAGAATTAAATTAAAATTGATTGGTGTTATTGATTTTCTTTTTTTCTTTGCTTTTTTTTTTTTTTTTTGAGGGATAAAGGGCACTGGAAACAGCATATGCCCCTATGCTGTTTTGAAGATGGACTATTTTTAAAAAACATAAAAGCATATGTGCCCAATTTACATATTTACCAATTAAAAAAGCTTCCAGGAAACATTAAGTAGACTATGTTCTGTAACCTTTAACATCGTAGCTAATGGATATAGCCTGGAAATTTTCATAGAAGGTCCTCTAAATAATGTAAATGATTATGAATATGTAACTAGTTAATATGCAGCTACGAAAGGATTATCATGTAGAGGTTAATGAACATGCTGCTCTTACGGTTTGCAAGGCTTTTCTTTTTGTGCTTTTAGCTTGCTTCATGCATGGAAAGTCATGTATTGGGAATGGAAAGCTTCCTGTCTTTTCCATCTTCATCTTTAATGGGGCAATTAAACTGGAACTTTCTTAAAGGATTTCATAAACATTTTTATATGCTTATGTTGTGTACTTTACAATCAGTACCAAATCTGAAAGAGTGAAATGTGCTGATGGGATATCCTCTGACTTGGTAGTGTTGCTCTCCATTGTGTGCTTGCATTGTTAGGAAATGTAGTTGCGCTCATATGATTTACACCTTGTGGGAAACTTTGCTCTTGAAATGGGTTTAACGTTGATAGCGTGAATTAGCTTGCAGAAGTCTGTATATTTAGTCTTAACATTAAAAATGTTTAATTTGCACATTAAGGAAAATACTTGCTAGGAATTTGATTTATAAGAGTTTAAAGCAGATGATAAATTTAAACTTGGCATAAGCAAGGCAAGCTACCTGGCTGAATTTCCTGATGGATTATGAAACAGCCTAACTACAAATGTACAGCTGATCCTTTTCATTTAAGTACTTTACTCCATTTAAAGAATTACTAGCTCACAAAGCAGCCCCGTTTTTTTGTTTGTTTGTTTTTGTTTTACTCCTATATAAGTACAAAGTGCAGGGTCTGAGATCTGTTCTGCAATAGCTGCACATATGCTAACTAAAAAAAAATTCTTTCATTCTGTTGTTTGGGGAAAAAAAAAAATTATCTGCTCCAGTGATTTCAGTGGTAGCTGAATGTATGTTATTGTTTTCTCTGCAAATTTTCTCATTGCTTTCAAATGTTAGCATTATTTTGGCTACAGGAAAAAAAATTGTAAAAATAAATAAATAAATAAATAAAAATTTAAAAAAATGTGAAGATGTTTAGACATATTTAATTGCCTCATGGCTTCACTGCATTTCATATAATTGAATGAAATTGTTTGTGTTATATTTTTGGTAACCATTATTCAGAGATCAGAATATGTTTTGAAAGGCAAAATTTGCACATAATTATAGAAGAGAAGGGCACAGGTTTCAGCATCTTGGTTGTTTGCTGTGTCAAAAAAATATGGTTAAAAAAGAAAAAAGTATTACCTTTTAACAATATACTTTATTTTGTAAATTATTTTCAACCTCTTGGGAAGGTCTACAGTATGAAGAAATAAGTGAAATATTCAGATTAAAACTACTTTTTTGATCTTGACAGAAAAGAATGGAAGTCAACAGTTTATAATGGTCAAATATCCTTTTTGTTTAAACGCTCACAAAATTATTTTGTGCATTTTCAAATTAAAACTGCCAGTGGAAACATTTGTTGATGTACTGATAAAGGAAAAATGTTTTTGGTGTTGTGGGGTTCTTTTTTTTTTTTTTTAGTGAATAAGTATGGAAATTATGTTGATGACATGTTATAATTTATATTGTTTTCTCATTCTGCAAGCATGTAACACTGAAAATAGATCTGCAGATCGCACAAAACAAAATACTGCTTACCTTATATCATGTCACTTAATAGTTATGGAGCAGGTATTGTACCAAAATATGAATTGAAAACTGTAATTTTTTCAGTGGTTGTCAGTCTGCATTAGTGTGTGATAAAGTGTGTAGCTTAGTAACTACCATTCACAAGCCTTTGCACTGACAAATAAAAATGTATATAGAGACACTACCAAATCTGTAAAGTGACTGTTCTAGTTTCTGATACATTGACATTGCAGCTGTGTGCTTAGCCTTGTTTTTTTCATGAACAGTTATCTGTTTTAATGACAGGTGGTCACTAGCTGCCAAGAAAAAATCCAGCACTGGTAAGTCAAAAATGTTTGATTACATGCCTAAAATACTGATCAGTAACCTAGTTGTATTCTAGTAAACTTACTGTACTACTGCCTCTTCTAATGACAGCCAGATTGAACAGGTATGTTTTGGGGACGGGAGGTAGCTCAGAATTATTGCAATATGCTCTCTCTGAGATGTTTGTATTTGCCGCTGATGCCATTGCTGTAAGTCACAAATAGACTGAACCTTAGTGTATGGTAAATACCCATCTCATTCACCATATTTCCCCAAGTAATCTTGTGGGATGAATGCTGAATTGGCCTGATACGTGGACAGGTATTCACAGAGTAGAATCAATTATTCTTGTTTTCTCTTTAACTATGAGCAAGTAGGGAAATTGTTGTAGCACATTTTTGGGGAAAAAAACACTAAACAAAAATGTGAAAGTAATGTTTCTTTGTTTACCCCCCCCCCCCCAATAAACCATCTCATAAAGCATAGTTTGTTATGCTTAGAAAGAAATGATTCGTTATGTAAAAACATAAAAAAAAAAATCTCTGGGTACTTTTTTCTGTGTTGGCAATCTATGGTTAATAGAAAACATGCTTAGTAAATAATGGTTTTCTAGGGCATCTGAGGAAAATGTACATTTAATGGTGAATGACATATTATGAGTTACTGTGAGATATAAGAGTTGATCTTACAGATATCAAATTACAATATATCCATGCTGTGTTTACCATGATTTTACTGAGAGAGCAACAGGAGCTGTCTTGATTATTGTCTGCAGGGTTATTGCAGAATCACAGCAACTGCCCCTTTAGTGGTGAGATTAAACCTTTGGTTATACACCATCAAGCATATAATATTTTAAATTTATTTTAAGAGGCTTTTTCTTCATGCCTGAAAGATCTCCAAGCAAATAATTTATATTTAGTGTGTATCAAATGTTTTTAGTTTAAATGCACAAGGGCTGCAAGCACTGGATAAGAGGAAAAAAATCAAGACAATCTATACACGTCAGAATTTAATATGATGATTATCGGCTTGCAAAAATAATCTAAAACTAATATGTTTCATTTATGTTTAAAATTCAGAGACTGCATTAATTTTCAATAAGGGAAATATTATTGAAGTGCCTACTGGTGCTGCTGTAGTTAAGTCAGTCAGAATTTCCATAATGCACATACTTTTGGGGGAGTTTCTGCAGTGTCCATGCCAATTTGGTACAGTGTGAAGTTCTGCATGTACATTCTTTCACAGAGACATATATATATTTTTTTTCAGAAATAAACCAATTGACAGTCTTAAAATTGGAACAGATTTTTTTAGAAGTTTGGGAAATTGGCTGGGCTTTGTAGAATGGGGTAGGAGGGTAGACGTTGGGAAGAGGGGTTGCTTCTCTATTGGGTTTTGAGCAAACTCTGGCCATGATCCTATGAATCTGGGGGATTTCGGCACAGAATATCATAAGGAAAACCTAACTTACTGATTTGATTTTTATGTAGAAAAGCGGTTTATAGAGCATCCATACAGTTTTTACTCTAAGAAAACCTATTCAAAATTTAGATCCTGATTGTGCAAGAGCTGAGTGCTCTTGCTCTCTTGAATAATTTGTTCATAAAAGACCTTTAAGTAGTCAGTGACACAGAAGAATGTTAAATAGAATTGGGTGAATAACAATAGGGTTTTAAAATGCCCAACTTCAATATATTTCCATTAAATTATTTTCTTTTTCATTTTTTAGTGCACATCTTGAAGTATATTTTCAAAGCCATGAATCTGATAATGGGTCTGGGATTAGACGTGGTATTTCCCTTTCTAGATACATGCTCATAGCTGGAGCCTAGTGCCCGTTCTCCATGTTCCCTCTCCCTCGCTGCACATGGTGACCAAGCACACCATTGGCACGCATGCTCTAGATGAAGGGAAAGGTCTGCTTCCTTCCTTGAGTAACATTCTTCCATGTCAGCTCATGAAATGGATATGTTTTCATTTTCTTTATTGTGGTGGTCCAGCACTTAGAGAGTGCTGTGGTAGAGGTCTGACCGGTCAGAGGCGGTTCTCCCACTGAGTGCGGAAACATGCTCTGCTCTTTCCTAAATGTTCTTTCCCTCATCTTGCCCCATGGATCATCACTCTGGGGAGTCTGCTTCCAGCTACCATTGGTGTAGAAGATGTGGTGGATCAGGGCAATAAAACCCTGCTGTATCTGAAGCAAGTTATTTCTGCTGTACCCGGATCAGATTATTCGGTAACGGGCAGCAGTCAGACCTTAAAGGCAGAATCTTTCCGGTTGATGAAGAAATGTCAGGTTTGAGCAATGAAATAATGGGTGTACTTAATCCTCCTATGAGTGGGATCTTTTTTTTTTTTTTCCCCCTAATACCATTCTTTTCCTGTGGAGTCCTCTTCCACTGAAGTGAGGTCAAGGCCTTCAGTTTGGGGGTCGCTTGGTTTTCAAGTGAGTAGTCTGCAGCATTGTCCTGTTCTCTGAAAACACAGATCTCTGCAAGTCAAAGGCTGCATTTTGTAAATGTCATTAAGTAGTTGTTACTGATACCAAATTGTCATTATATTGCTTTCTCCAAAACATCTTGTGAGCTTTGTTGAGATTCATGAGTTGGGCCTTCCTCTTTAAAGGAAGTGAATTATGTTGTCACCGTAATGAGGGCAGTGGACAAAGAAACTTGCTGGGTGCATTGGAAAAATTGGCATCAAACCAAAGAAGTAGCAAGCATCTTTTGTAAATTAGTTGTATGGAATACAGTTTTAACGTCCAAGTGGTCTAAGTTCTTGGTTCGTGACCAGTTCAGCAACTTAAAATACGAAGAACTCCATGTATAAAGTAGTGTAATTACAGCAAAGTTCAGCTATGGAAGAAAATGAGACAAACAGAGGAGTAGCAGATAATTTTTCATAATGAATACTGAAAAAGATTTTACTCTGCTTATGAATCTAAGAAAAATCAATGATAATATTTTGAGAGTTGTGTTACCAACTATGACATTCATTTTTCAGCACATTTATAGATTGCTTTCTTGAATCATCCTCAGAAAACCTGTAATTTGCATCCTGGGTCAGCGTCGTGAAGTATGCTGCTCCGTGCTTTCAGTTGCCTTCTATTGCAAAATTTACTACCATACATAGGATGTTTACTATTTTGAAGTACAAGTAAACAATGTCATCAAACCTGACATTTATATGTTAGATACTTCATGTAGGAGCTGATTTCTGATCTCTACAGAACGGCAGTTGTCCATTAAAAAGACTTCCCAGCAGAATTTAAGTGTTTAAGAATTTCTTAAGAAAAAAAGGCTTTTTAGAGTGAGTACACTTGTTTGTTTTGCACACAAAGGAAAATTCCCATAGCAATTAAAATGCTGTATCCTGCAAAGTCAGGTATCTGTCATGGGGATAATTGATCCAAGTTCATTAAGCCATTTCTGTCTTGTAAAGCAACACGTGGTTTATGAGAAACAATAGAAGGAATGCTCCACACCTGTGTTGTTTGTCAGGTTTGGAAGACGGGACAGAAACAGAGTGGTCAAGTGATCTTTCAGGACTGTTGACTCTTAGTAGGCCCAGAAAGTAGATGTGAAAATCAGAAACAGTTAAAATTTTGTCCATTTTATCAGCCCAAACCAAGGTCTTGAATTCTGTATTACAAGTAATACATTGAAGAATTTGCCTCTTCTGAAGATAAACTGGATTTTCAGTTCTTTTTCTAAAGCTTGATGGTGGTATAATTGTTGAACTTGAACATGAAGTGAGATATGCTAAAACGTAATGAAAGAACTGATTCTTAGCACCATAAAAAAAAAAAAAACAAATCCAGAGACATTCACAAGCTAAAATAATCATATCCCTATTTTAATACACATTATTCTAAAATAGCCTAGCTATTATATGTAATTTTTTATAAATAACTTACTAATTTATCAAGCAATGTGTTTAAGAGTAAAATAGTTCGGTTTTTGTTATTTTTTGGGTTGTTGAATTAGTAGATCAAAAATGTTAACTCTTCACTTTAGAAAAGAAATTGAATCAACTTAAATTTATCAACAGGAAGAAGGTGGAGGGTGATTATGAGGCTCTTCAGGAACGACTCCGTACTTTGCCTGATAAACTGTCCTATGATATCATGGTATGTACGCTGTATGTACGTTATCACATAAGATAATGGACTAAAACTTCCAGAAATTCAGGTATCTGCATCTGCAGGGAGGTGTTACTCAGGTTGCCATATAATACTCAATAATGGTACATTTATGATGATAATAGTTAAACCTTTGCTTTTGTTTCTCTCTTCTTTTCTTTGAAATCTATTATAAATTACAGTGTTACTGACAACTGAGAACAGATGACATAAATGCTAACACAAAACCTGACACATTTGATATGTAAATCTATTGTATAGAAAACTATAATTATGAGTGAATTATGGTACTTAGTCACTTCCTTTGAAGCAAGTGGCCGTAGTATTTTCTGATTCATGGAAATAAGCCCCAGAACATTGATTTTTACATAAAAAGGTGCTGCTAATTTTTGTTTCACTGATCTTCACATTGACATAGCGATCTTTTATTGTGCTTCGAATGTTCTGTAACAACTGTACAGCTTCCTATTTAAACTTTATCATGTTGACTTGCACTCACCAGAATTTTGGTCAGTTTGGCTTCTCCCCCCTCTCCACCCTCTCTCTCCTCTTTTTTTCTTTTTTTTTTTTTTTTTTCCCCTCTTTCCAGGTCTGTTTTGAGGTAGGTCTTTGTAGCGGGGAGTGCTGTACTGTAAATAACTGAATAACTAATTTCAGTGCAATGTACCTAACTGCTTTCTTACCTGGCAGCCTGGCTTGATGTACAGTTGAGCTGTTAGTAAGACAGCAGTGGAGCACAATTCCCAGGTAGTAAAAGAGAAAGTTTCTGTCTCCAGTGCTGAGGATTCAGCTCTACATGTTATGTGCATAGGCCTGTGACCATGTGTATATGCGTGGCCACATGGTGTAAAACAAAAAGGTTGTGTTGTTTTGAAGCACAGAAAAAATACTGTCTAAAAAAATAGATATGGCTTATTCTTAGCTAAAGCAGCCTTGTCAACTCACATCTATTATTTTAAATGTATATAAATAGTTCCTGTCCTGTTTGCCAAATATTTTCATATGTTTTCAATTTTGCTTTCATCATTTTGGGGAAAGAATGAACAGGCAAATGGTGCATCCTGCTTCTTGAAAACCAAGTCAGGAAGGGTATATGTGTAGGAAAAGCCCATTCTGCTTAGTCATGGCATGAATCCTGCCTGCTGCAGAGCTGCTTCAAGCACTGACAGGCACCTCCTGGATGGTGACGCTGGAGAAGACGCTTTCCAAGGAAGCAGGTCTGCCAGGCCAGGTGCACTGGTTCAGCAAAACTGCGGTGGGAAAGCAAATGGTTAGCCTGAGGAAATGAGGGGGACAGCAGAGGAATAAAATAGAAAGAACTGGTACAAACTGACCGAGATGGACCTTTTTATCTTAAGAAAGAAAGCTTGAGCTGGCTGAGGTTCTTAGCTTTTCACCCCCTCCATTTTAATTCTGGTCTCCTGACTTTGAGATTGAAGCCCAAAGGCAGCCAGGTAGGCAGCTGCTGCTCTGAGGTGGGGTGCGAATGCAGGGGCTGGTGCAGGAGCAGTGCAAGAGGGCTAAAAGTGATAGGGCTTCCCTTGAATGGTGTGTCAAATGTGGCCTGCAGAAGGTGTCTTGAATCATAAAAAGCAGTGTCCCATAAGCTGTGATCTGTGTTAAATATTGCTTCCTGTGCCTGCAGTCATGGGACAATGGACATTAGTTGGTGGGACATTGCCTGAGGTCTGTGTACTGGTGAAGGACAAAACAGAGTGAGGGTCAGCACTGTGGTCCTGCTGGTAGTCCCCCGAACTTACACTGAGGTTTTTAAGCACTTATTCTTAGCAAGGCATATACTGAAAAAAGCAATTCATATTTGAGTTGTCCATTTAAGAATACCTTGTCAAGAATTTCAAAATTAGGGAACCTATTTAAGAATGTTAAAAATGTCAGCAAAGCTAAACTTGCTTTTACTGGGAAATGAATGTAGTCTGTGAATAACAAAAACTTAACTCACCTGAACAGCTTACATGTTAGGATAAAGTTAATTTGCTTTCCTTACGATTTTTCAGTTGTACTGTAGTTTCATGTCACAACACAAGTTTTCTACTTACATTCTACTTTTCTGGTTTTGTAACTAAAATACTAAATTCAAGTGGGCTTGGTCATTTGAATATGTTTGAATGTTTTAATATTAAATAACTGGTGTAGAATTTTATTTAACTCTGTATTTTACTTTTTTTTTTTTTGACCTAGGAGATGAATGAGTAGGTTTATTTTCATCAGCAATTTTCAACACTGGTTTTCTGTGCCTTTGACAGGTACCTTTTGGTCCTCTTGCCTTCATGCCGGGAAAACTTGTCCACACCAATGAGGTTACTGTTCTGCTTGGGGACAACTGGTTTTCAAAATGCTCAGCGAAGCAGGCTGCTGAGCTAGTTGAGCACAGAAAAAAACGTATGTATGCTTCTGAACATAATTTATTAGTCAATATTATGTATCTTTTTATTAATATATAAAATCTGTAGCATTTACACCATTCACTTTTTTTGTGTGCTAGCGAACAGAAATATCATTAGACTGTAATATCAATTTTTAGCACTTGATTTTCCATCTTTACTTGTTATTTTATCAAATGTATGATTTTTTAAACATCTAGCTAGAGCTTTATTCCTGTTTTCTCTCTCTTTTTTTTTTTTTTTTAACATGCTACAGTTGCTTGAGTTACTAAAATGCAGGTTTTGATGTTAGATTAGATTACACGGTCAGCCAAGATTTGTTTATTATAAGCAAAAGCAAAACAAAACAACAGAACAGGCAAAAAAACTGTCACTCGTTTAATTTGAGAAATACTGTATTGTATTCCAGAAAGCAGACACTGCAATGTATTTTTGCTCTTAGTTACCTTATTCCCCACGTTCTGTTCCCTTGTCTCTTATCTTATTTCTTTGCTGCCTTGTCCTGTTTTTTTTTTTTTTTTTTTTTTTTTTTTTTTGTCTGGCTGTATTATTTTCCAGCTTTCTTTTCCCTTTTAGATGCTTTATTCCTTTTTTTTTTTTTCCTTGCTTGGTTTTCTGGATTTGCTGCTTATCTGCATTCCTGCTGTCTACCCTTGGTATGTCTATTGTCATGGAGAGATCAACTGGATCTCCCTATATCCAAGTGCATTGGTGGCCACCAAGTTCCTGTACAGCAGCAGATGAGGATCATAGAGGCAGACAGGCAATTTTGTTTGTTTGTTTCCAACTCTTTTTATTTGTTGCTGGGATCTTGGCTCTGGAAAACCAGGACCCCCAGCAAGCCTTGTGCACAGCACGCTTCCTGACTTCTTTATATGAGAAAGAATGAGAGACTAAAATATTTGATAGAAATGCCAAGGAAGGGAAAGCACAGTCAAATGGAAAATAAATTTATGCCTATTAGCCTTTGCTGTTTGTTTCAGATAAGCATTTGAGTAAATATTTTTTTCACATCAATTTTACCTGTAATCTGTCTCATTCCTGAATGAATGCTTCCTGCAGCTTTACTCCTCCGTATGTTACAACCAGCATAAGTGTTTACTTTGGATTTTTGTTTATAAGTTCAGCTATCCACATTGCTGCTTGCAGCAGAATATATCAGGGGTTCTCTGTCTTGAATACATTTTTTTCAATTCTATGCAAACAATATTTGTGTAAGAAAAGTTTTTTATGAAAAATAATTTGCTGTATTACTTTAAAATATACCTTTATGAAGCTTACCAAAGTATACAAAAGTATGTAATTTGTGTTTTACCTATTATCTTAATCTCATTCTCCTGACATTACTTTTCAATTTTATTTCTTATTGAACTGAATATACATTATTTATTGTGAGTATTGCAAGATCTCAGGTCCATATCTCTCTCCTTGATCATCTTTTTTTTTTTTTTTTTCAGTACTGCAGAATATTTTTGTCACAGTTACATTCAGTGAAATCATTTGACCTTTGCATAGTAGATGTTTGAACATTAAGTAGTCTGCTGGGAGACACACAGTAAATGCTGGGTTCTTTTCCTTTATGATCTTTTAAATTGCTTTTAAAATATGAACTCAGAAATACTCATTTCTTTTAAAGCAAAATAGTCACTGCTGCCTGGATATAAACCTTGCATTTAGCTGATAGTTCACTTCAGCTGTGTGATGGCTGCCAGTGGGAGGCTCCAAAACACTGATATTAACTAAAAACTTTTTATTTAAAAGACTATTCTCAGTTTTGAATGATAAAAGCCATATTAGTACATATGATTCTGAAAAGAGTATGTATTTCTTTCACAGATGGTTTTCTTCTTTCCAAAGCCATTCCACATTAAATATTGGTGAATTAGAGATATTGGAGATTTTATTTGTTTATTAAAATCATAAAAAAAATAAATGTATGTGTTCCACTTGTGGCACAAATATGAGAGACCAGTGCTTCATAGGTGTTTAAGGTCTCTTGTATAGTGGACTGTAGATATTTTAATAGGTGTCACTTCTGCTTTCACTGGCATTCTGTATGCACAGCGGCTTTGTAAGGTGATGTATGTTTAACACCATCATTACCCTGAGACAATGCGATATGATTTTTAGTGCACAATCTTCTTCTGGAGAAGAGTTTTGTGAGTAGGGTGTGCTGGGTCGAAGGGGTGGCACTGAGCGCAGTCCCCGGCACCCCATGCATCTGTCAGCAGGGCCTGAGGCAGTGCAGCTGGGCTGTGCTTATGGCCCGTGTGTGTGGGAAGGCTTCGATGTTCAGGCCCAGGCCCCAATACCCAGTATTACTATATTTAATTGGGTGCTTTTTCATAACTATCTGGTCAAATCTGTTCTGATAACCAGAATGAACTTAATTAGTGTAGCAGTAATAACTCAGTGCTTGCACAGAAATTAAGAGTTGTAAGGAAATAAAAGGCATTTTAATTGCTTAGCACACCTGGTGTGGCAAGAAGAGTAGGGGAGCATGTATTCAGGACTTAATTTTACTAGTGAGACTGGCTGTTAGGTAGACTTATAACTCGTAGCTAGCTTCTTGCCGGTTCTGGGGGTTTTCTTTGTTGTCCTTGACTGGTTTTCCATGGGTCTACCCAGTGAAGACCTTCAGTGACCAGCAGATGGTCTGGTCGAGGCCACCCCTGACTTAACAGTTAATTTAATTGAGGTTCACAGAAAAGTTTCTTTACAGGTTGACTCCTTGCGTAGATGTTAGGTAAATATGAAAATGCACAAAATGAGTTTGCATGCCTAAGCAGTAATAGGACGTGCCAGATAAATCAACTGATAGGACTGAGTATGAAGAAAGCCTTGGAAGTTAGGGGCAGCACTAGGAGCGTGCTATATATAAAAGCTTTAAATAGTGCTAATTAGGTCATCCTTTTTGTCTTAGTAGTTTTGTTAAATTCACTTTTTAAAGGAGAACGAGTGGAACAAATGTTTGCTTCTGTGAAACAGAGAAATGCCCAGGCACAGCAGATAAATTTATTGGTTAAAATTTATTTGATGGAAAGGAAAAATTGAAGGGTGACTGTACTGAATTTTGAAAGTAAGTGCACTTTAACTGCCACAGCTGTAGAAAGCCCTATTTTGGGGATATATTTTTGTTTGTGTAGCTTTTGATTTAGATGCAAGCTGTTCAGCATTGTGATTGGTTGAAATGTATTTGGTAAAATTTGGGACAGTCACGTCAAATGTTACTTTTTCATAAAATATTGATCATATCTCCTAGAATAATATCTAAGTTGCATAAATCTCACATTTTTTGCACGTTTTTGTGACATCTCTAGATGTTCAGTTACCTCCAAAAAAGAAATCTAGTTAAGAAATCTGTTAAAAAGAAATCTAGTGAACTTTATGGAATTCTCTAGTGTATTTTTAATTGTTTTAAATTCGTTGCAGTTTGTTAAACCAGGTAATACTGATAATGGGGAAACACTTTACACATGTGTTTGTGTGTAAAATGTGAAGAAATACTGAAGTAGATTAAAGGATACACACACCAAATTCCATTATAATAAAAGAAATTAGCTTTTTAAGTATGTCACAGTTTAGCACAACAATAATGCAATTGTAGTTTTTTCTCTTACAATTATCTTGCTTAAGGTACTTCATGATATTTCTGTTCTCCTTAAGGCAAGACTGTATTGTCTCAGAATTCAAAGAGGGAATAAAGATTCTTTTTGTGAATATGGGATTATATCTTTTACGTGTTTGTGATGATATAAATTATATTTTTTCTCTATATTAGTAATCGCATTAATTCTTTAAGATGGGAAATTTTTCATTACAATGGTCCCTGTGGTAGTTAGTATAGAAAAAATTAAATGGATTTTTCTTGTAAATATTTGTGGATTAATTCAGTTTGCTAGGTATTCCAAGTGTCTAAACACTTTAAAAGGTGGCAAATTAAAACACACACACAAAACTAGGAGTGGTTTTATTGTGTTAAAAATTTATCAGATAAAAAAAAAAATCCCACTTAAAGGAGAATTGTTGAACTACTTAGTAATTGTGTCTTCAATGTATGTAAGAATACCCTTGCAGTGTCATGCTTCAAATGAATTCATGAAATAAAAATACTGATTACATTAACATACAGTATTGTGATAGTACCCAATCATAAATTGCGGTATATAACCTTTAATACAAATATTTGTGTCAATCAAAATTGACCGATAGCTTAGTATACAAGGTTTAAAAGATACCATTGTTTTTAATAAATAAGATGATCCAGGCGGATGAGGACCAGGCTGAATTTGTTCCTTATCAGCATTTCCAGAAAAAAAAGGATATTGTCTCCAAAATATATGATAGGAAGGCTTTCCATTTCCCATCTGTGTATGAGTGAGGCCTTTAGAGGTTTTAATGTTTCATCCAAGGGTGAAAATAGCTTGCTTTATATTCTAAAGAAAATAACACAGACTTGCCTACTTACTTTTTGGGGAAAAGAACAAAAGGTGCAGGTAATGTTACAAATAAATCTAGCTGTTTCTTTACTTTATTAAGAAAAAAAAAAGGCAAAGAAAAACGTTTTCTGCTGTTTTTTCTGTATGCTGGAGAATATTTTTTCACGGCAGTTTTGAATCTATTTTACCATTTTTGGAGATTATTGCTTTTTCGTTTAGTAACCTCCATGAGTTCCTTTCATACCCTTGTTAAGTAAGAGCTGATTCTTTGAAGCGCTAAGTGCTCTAAATTTGCTCTGCCATTCCCAAAGGTGTTTGGTTTCTTACAGGACCATGGTCAAGGTATTTTAACCAGAACACAGTGGAAGAAAATAAGGAGAATAGAATCCTTTCTGTTGGTTAGGTATTGTGTTCAAAGAAGCCCTTACTTGTTAGTAATTCTTACTCGGCATCAGAGGAGCTTGTCTGAATGTCAGCCTGCTACATTTAGCAGAAATTTAACTGTATTCATAGAATTTGAGCAGTTACAGAGGTGTGTGAACCTAAAAGCGAGAAATGT